TGCTGTTGTCATATTTCTTTATCTGAAGTGTGTGTTTTTTTTTCTTATTTGGCCCCATTCTCGGGAAAAAAGTCGTAAAAAAGAGACTTGTTTGGGTTCTGTAGATGGTCTTTTCTATGTGAATCAATTGTTGCGGAACTGAAAATTTTAAGGTTTCCAGTGATGACTTAACAATGTTTTGTTTTGCTACTGTTATCGTTACAATTTTTCCATTTAGTAATTTCTTTCTTTTTTTTTTGTTTTCGTCGATTTCTTAATGGAAATTAGTATCATATTTTTTACGTGGAACAACTAACAGTAAATGATGGATGATTTGTTAATAAGTTGGAAGTGAAAAGGAGGAGATGGAACAAGTGAACGCTACTGTTTTAACTTCATTTTTTTTTTTTTTTTTGTACGGAATTTCTTTCTTTGTCTTTGCATGTCATTACTGAATTTTTTTTTTTCTGGTTGTTATAATCAGTGATTGGGTATTGAAGGTAAAAGAGCAAGTATATAGAGTGAAGGAGGATATGGAGGAGGGAAGGATATAAAATGATAAAAGGTGAAAGAAGGGGTTAAAAAACAAACGGAAGAAATGATGAAGTTAAAGAAATTTTTCCACTTAAATATTTGGAACTAAAAGAGTTTTTTCAACCAAAATTCACTACCATTTCCACTGACAATTCGATTTTTTTCTCTCGTCTTTCTGATTCTCTTTTTGTTTCCTTTATCATCATCATCATCATCATCATCATCATCATCATCATTCATCATCATCATCATCATCATCATCATCATCATCATCATCTTTTTGGTTTGTAAAGCTTAAAGATGCAAATTTTAGGAGAGGTTTTTTGTTGCTTTACGTACGTATGGGGTGTGTGTGTCTGTCTGTCTGAGAGCCATCGGTTTGTTGCTTTAAAAGCTGCAATAGAATTTTGGTTGTTTTTTTTTTTCTTGATGGGGCAGACGGAAAGAGAAACCCCATCGTAGAGAAGAAGTCTCATTAAAAGTGCGTAAAAGAGTTGTATGACCCAAAAAAAGATCAGTAATTGTTTATTTGAGCAAACTGGTAAAAAGTGTTCTTTGGAAGTTGCTTTTTTTCTTTTCTTTTCTTCGTTTTATTTATTTATTTGTTTTTTTTTTTCTGGCTATGGCTTTTTCAACTAAATGAATTTATTCGTTTTTTCTTTTCTTTCATTTTTCTTGCCAATTTTATACATGAAAGTTATTTTTGCATGCAGTGACTTTGGTTTAATTTTTCTTTTCCCCCTTCTCCCCCCCCCGCTTTTTCTCTTCTTCCTTTTGCTCTTTGTTGCGACAAGGTATAGTCTTGCTAATTTCTTGATTTTTTGACCAGCAGAATTGGCTATCTGTCCAGAAAATGGATCACTTTATTTAGATGATAGAGGTTTAATTTTTGGTTGTTCTGTTTTTAACTGTTAATAGCCGAAATATGTTGAAAGTACTGATAAAACTGCCAATAAGTGGTACAGTTAAAGACTGTTTGGACTGTTGTTGTTGTTGTCATTGATGCTGATGCCTGATGATGCTCCTTGTAAACAGATTCAAGTTGACATTCCTGGAAATATCGCCTTTTTTTTTTTTTCCTTGTTGAATTTTTTTTTCAGTCATAATTATGTTAGTCATTGGATTGAGCGAGTTGACTTTAGCACGGAGAAGTAAGCTTTCGTTTACTTTATAGGCTTTCGTTCAATGTTTTCTGCACTGTATATGGAATGAAAGCCTATAAAGTAAACGAAAGCTTACTTCTCCGTGCT